AAGAAAAAATAACGAAAATAAATAATTCAATTGATAAAAATATGTAATGGATAATTTTTTAAAAATAAAATGATAAATTGATATGAATATTTAATTCAATTATTTTTGAAATATTTTTATATATAAAAGATAGAACATATAAATATAAATATAAAATTCAAATCTTTTATATAAGTGTTACAGATGTACGGATGAATAGAATTTACGCCCCATAATGCCATGTGTCAACATCCCATTGGTCTTTTTTATATTTTTCTTTTTTTAAAATTTTTTCACTTTTTAAGGCTGTTGTACGGTCTTTCTTATATCACATGCCGCGTGTCACTTTTCCATTGGTCCTTTTATTTTTCCTTTATTTCATTTTTTAAACTTTTTTCTTTTAAAAATTATACAATATATGTCTGTGAAGATTGTCATCATGCCACGTGTCAATTCATCCATTGGTTCATTTTATTTTTTTGCTTTTTGCGCTTTTTCTTTCTTATCTTTTTTTTTTTACTTTTTTTATTTTAAAAAAATTACTAAATTTTTAAAAAATTATAATATATATATATACGAAGATTGCATTTTTATATGTGAGATACATTATACCAAAAAAATTTTTTATTTTCTTTTGTATCTTTTTTTATTTTCTTTTTTTAAAATATAAAATAATTAAGATTCTTTTTATTCTTTTTCAGCACACTTGAATAATGTCCAGTCTGCAATCTGATTTTATTTTAACTATTGCATGTCAATTTTTTGGGTTTTTTCTTTTTTTTTTTTAAATTTTTAATTTTTATCATTGGGACTCTTTTTTTTTATTTTAAAAAAGTGTAGGTCCCACATTTTTAATCTATTTTTGATTTTATTATTTTATCTTTTTTTAATTTTCTTTTTTTTTTATATTTAATAATTTATAAACATATATTTTTTAAAAAATATTTTTGTGGGGCTCACTTATACAAATTTTTTTTTACTTTTTAAAATTTTTTCAAACAATATTTATTATTTTATTTTAAAATTCATTTGTTAGTAAGGGTACAAAACATGTTTAGTTTTCTTTTTTTTTTAATTTTACTTTTTATTTTTTACATAATTGAAAATTTATTTTTGATTTAAATTTTTGTTGGAACTATTTTATATCAATGATATACAACATGTTAAGTCAATTTAATTTTTTCATTTTTTCCATTATTTTTTTAATATTTAATTTTTTTTATATTTTGACTTTTTTAATATGGTTGCTTGATATTATTAGAAATATATGTTTGATTTTTTATATTTTTTAAATTTGATATTTTAAAGAAAATTATATTAATGAATGTGTAGGCTTCATATAAGAAATTGATTTTTTTTGGAAATTTTTTAGCTTTATTTTTTAATTCATAATATAAAATTTTTTATAAAAGCTCATTATTATTGATGTCAAGTGCGAACTAAATTTTTTTAGAAATAATCATAATATCTTTTTAATTACTTAATAATTAAATTATATGCATCTAAATTGATTATGATGTCCATTTTTTATGATTGATTAAAATAACTATGGATAGTTTTAAATGCACCCCCCCCCCGTCTTTACTCTATGACCCCTACTTTTTAAAAAAAAATTTTTTATGAGCAAAATTTCTTAAATATTCTTCTTGCAAGTTTTCGGATATGCACTATTTTCAAAAAATCATAATACTTCTAAAAATAAATTTTCTAGAAACCATAACACTTCTCGAAAAATGCATTTTTTGAAAAGGTATAACACTTCTTGAAAATGCATTTTTATACCTTTTCAAAAATATATTTTCGAGAAGACATAACACTTCTTAGAAATATATTTTTAATAAACCATAACATTTCTTGAAAATACATTTCCAAGAGTGAAATTTTATGAAAAATTTACAAAAAAAAAATTGTTAAAATTGTTTGTAAATAAGTGTAATAAAAAAGTTATTATTAAATAATAATAAAATTTAAAATTAATAAAAAATTATTTTTATTTTTTTGATTTTAGAAGTGCACATCGCCTTTGAATATGATGATTATATGTTTGCTGAGATTTTTTATGACATTTCAAAAATTAAGAAAAATAGAAAAAAAATTATCATTGCCATGTCCTCAGTCTCATACAAATTTGAGAATCAATAGGAAAGATATTGAAAGAATTGGAACTAATTCAAAGTTGAAAAATTTTTAACCAGTATTGCATGCTTATGAATAAAGAGGCAATAATACTATTGGACATTACATAATTTTATCAAAATCTAATATGCTAATTAGAGAAATCTATTATGATAAGTAGATAAAGATATTTCTCTAAAGAGTTCAGTTTAATTAAAACTATTATAAAATTTTAATAATCGATATAAAAATATTTATTAAAAATGATGAATTTTAAATTTATAAAAAAATTATATTTTCTATTATATTTTTAATTTAATTAAGTTCTCATAAGATATTATTCTTTCTCTAACAATAACTTTTTCATTACACTTATTTATAAATAATTCTAATAAAATTTTCTTTTTATAATTTTTTTTTTATAAACTTTCACTTCTAACACTTTCAAAAATTCATTTCCAGGAAGTGTTATGACATTTTGAAAATACTTTTTTGAAAAGTGTTATGATTTCTTGGAAAATGTATTTTCGAGAAGTGTAATGACTTCTTAGATATGCATTTTTGAGAAATATTATGACTTCTCGAAAGTTTATTTCTAAGAAGTATTATGACTTATCGAAAGTGTATTTTTTAAAGTTGTAAAATTTTTGAGAAAGGTGTTTTAGTAATTTCATTTATAAAAACTTTGAAAATAAAAAGTGAAAGTGTATAAAGCAAAAATAGTGGTGCAAATAGAATTCCTCAATAACTACAATGCCCCCTCTAGATATAATTACTAAAAATACCCTTCATACTATAATTGATCAAATTATTTTAATGCCACACTTACTATATCTACGAAAATATTCCTCATATAATAATTTATCAAAATTACTATAATACAATTTTAAAATAATTATGACAATGCATTCTCATGATAATTACGAAAATACCTTCATATTATAATTTGCTAAAATTACTATAATACCTTTCTAAGTTTAATTATGAAAATACGCTTTTAATTACTTTATGATTGCTCATTAAATTTTTACATTCATATAATAATACGAAGTTAATTTCTTTAGAAATGATCATAATGCCATTTTAATTACTTGACAATTAAATTACATGCATTCAAATTGATTGTAATACCTTTCTTTCTATGATTAACTAAAATTATTATACTATTTTTAACATAATTACATAAATACCCTTCTTATTATAATTAGCCAATATTACTCTAATACCCCTACAATCATAATTACGAAAATTTTCTCTTACCATAATTATGTAAATACCCCTCATATTAGGATTTGTCAAAATTACTTTAATACCTTTTAAGCATAATTACAAAAATGTCCTCTTATCATAATTATAAAAATATCCCTTCATATTATAAGTGATTTATAAGTGATTAAAATTTCTATAATAACTTCTAACCACAATTATAAAAAATGCCCTTTTGATTGCTTTATATAATGTCTTGTACCATAATTATGAAAATACCTCTCATATTATAATTAGCCAAAATTTTTATAATACCTTATTAGCATAATTGCAAAATTACCCTTTTTATTGCTTTATAATTATGCATTAAATTTTAACATCTATACAATAATATGAAATTAATCTCTTTAGAAATAATCATAATGCCTTTTTTAATTATTTGTAATTGAATTACATATATGGCCATTTTTCTATGATTAACTAAAGTTACTATGATGTCACTCTTGTCATGTTTACTAAAATACCTCTCTTACCATAATAGGTCAAAGTTAATATAATATCCTTTCAACCATAATTGTGAAAATACCCTCCTATCATCATTTGTCTAAATTACTATAATATCTTTTCTATCATAATTATAAAAATATCAATAATATTATAATTTACTAAAATTATTATAATACCCTTTACTATAATTACAAAATACCTTTTTTATTGCTTCATAATTACGTATTAAATTTTAACATCCATATAATTATATGAAAGTGATTCATTTGAAAATGATCGTAATACCTTTTTAATTACTTGATAATTGAATGACATATCATCCAAATCAATTGTAACACTCATTCTATAATTAACTAAAATAACTATAATATTCGTTTTAATATAATTATTAAAATATCTCTTTTACTATAATTGGTCAAAGTTGCTATATTGCTCATATAATCATAATTATAAAAATACCCTTCTATCATCATTAACTAAAATTACTATAATACTCCTCTTATCATATTAAAATTATTGATTTTTTTTTTTAAAATTAAGTTAAACAAGTAATGATATTAGTAAGCTTTCATTCCATGAGTAGATGAGTTTGAATTTGATAATTAATCAATGTTGATAATAAATAATATTGTCTCGATTTTTTGATTTGTCATGAATGTATTATTAGATTTTGATTTAATTTATATAATTTTTTAAAAATAATCTCTTCTATTTAAAATAAAACCCGATACCTATCTAATTACAATTAAATGACACAATTCGAGCATCACTATTTTTATTTTTTTCAAAAAATTATATTTTCCAAAAAAACTAAAAACAACAAAATACTAAAAATATTTATTTTTTATTATTAAATAAAAACATATAATTTTTATTTTATCAAAATAAAAATATTTGCAAGTGAATGTATTTCCTACTCGAAGTGTGAGGTCAAATAATTCTTTCTCAAAAAAAAAAAAAAAAAGGCTATGATTTATAAACCAACGCACTTTTTTCGTGCATTTGTTTATATACATATGTTCCTAATTTATCCAAAAAAAAAAAAAAAAGTCAGAAATTACTTTTCGGAATGTTTAGACTATGCATGAACCAAAATATAAGGGCTGGAAATACACAACATGCAGCATTAATATAGACAACTTTACCTAAAAATAAGAATAATAATAATAATGACGTAGACCCAACACATTCTAACAAGCTCTATAAATTAAAATTTCTGAAACATCCTCAGGAATCATAAACAAGACAAACTGATAAACCAACGTTTGGAGATAATTATTAAGTTTAGTTTGCTTAATGCAGTTTTGCATTTAGCATTTACTTTATGTCATCAAATTTCTGTAGTTTTTTTAAGCTTAATTGAACTAAATTATAACCTTCATGAATGATATATATCTTCACTCACTGAACAGATCTTCACCTACTGACTTTCCATTAGTATTTTGCTCAATCTCATTCAACTTTGAAGGGCTAGTCATTAGACTTCGGACGTCATCATAAATGCTGGTTAAGCTCCTTGTCTTAACTTTCTTATTCTTAATGGAGGAGCCAGATAAGTACTGTTCCTGATCTTCTGCTTTGTTTTTGTATTTCAATCCACAGCTGCCATTAGCAAAACCACGTCTGGATGATCCTACCTCCATCCACAATGAGGCATCAGTCCTTTTCTTCCGACCAGCACTGCCACCAATCCTCATGGTGGTTTCAGCTTTTCCATCTTTGCTGTTCCCCAGAAATATCCCTTTTGCATCACCTAATAAACAAATTTAAAGCAAACAATCCATGAAACAAAGTTTCAGTACGCTAGGTGCGGGATCAAACGTAGGAGGAATAAAACAGTAGCAGCTCAAGAGTCTCAATTATCATTACATGAAACAAGACTCAAAAATACATATATATTGAACCTGAAATTTAGCTCAGTTGATTCATGTGATTACTTTTAAGAGATAACTTGCAATTCTTTCTCATATTCTTAGACTACGGCCTCTTTTGTAAAAAACAAAAAGGCATACTTTTTTTTTTTTGGTACAGAGGATGCGCATATATACTTTATGCAAGTGATTGCATAACATCCTTCTTTGCATGCATGTATCTGTTGAAAAATCAATTTTACAAGTTTGGCACATTGAAATTAACCTAGAATTCATGAACCATCATGTCTTTTCTTGGATTAGCACATATATTGAAATGAACGTAAAATAAAGAGGTCATATATTTCACTTTCAGCTCCAGCATCAACCAAGGATGAAGAGGTAAGGATTGAACTTTTCATATTACAGTTTACTTTATTTTTTTTCACAACATTTCTTTCTTAAGAGACATCAAAAGTTTCTATTGCGAATCGAGAAGAATATCCAAATTTAGATCTTTGCAGCTCTAACAATGGATGCTAAAGGCCAAAAATAACATGCCAAATCTAAATTATATATCCCATTCTACAGCTCACAATTGTAAAGGTGACTTGCCGGAAAAAGAAAATACTTACCTAATAAAGGATTGCCTAGTAATCTCCGATAAATTAATATCCATAACCAAGGCAAATTAGACATGCATTTGTAGTTTGCAAAATTTACCCTATGGTATCTTTTCTGTTGGACTGTATACCCTGATCTTTTTTACATTCATGTACAGATTACAAAACTTCAAGCAGTAGCTCCATTCATGAAAGCATTCATGAGGAAAAGGATGCACTCTACTCCTACAGTAATCTAACAAAAACAAACTTTGCCTGAGAAAACTATATGTACTTGTATGAGACCAAACAGTCAGAATCTAATAAAACAAATGTTAGCCTACTCATGATTCCTCACTGTACGGGGAATCTGATTTTACTTCTTTAATATGCTGATCTATAGAAGTTATATGAAACTGAATAAATAAATAAATAAATAATATATACATATATACACACACATATATATATAATGTATCTAACTATCAAAATTTTTAGGATTCTTGTAAATTTTTTAAGATTTTTAAAACAAGCAGTCATTTTAGAAAGTGTTCTGAATGCTAATAGTGTGTGAAAAACAGAAATTCGTACTTATAATGTACCAATAGGAAAATCATGCTTTTGAAATGCATTCTCTTTCCTTCAAAATGCAATATATCTTAAAGAGACTCAGAGCCTATAAATTTGGTACTGGCCATTAAAGTAGCAATCAAAAAACAGCCGGCTACATACTTTCTGTTTCCGAGACAACATTCAGCACTTAGAAGTATCATTGGTTATTTTTGCAGCTGTATATATAAGGGGAAAAAGGAAAAATAAACTAAAAAAATTACCATTAAGGGTCGAAGTGAAGATATTTCAGTACTATTTGATGACAAAGGTAGCAGTCATTGAAGGGTTTTACTTACCTGATAGTTAGAAGTTTTTTAGACTTCTTTAAATGGAAATTATATCATAATTGAGCATTACTACCAACTTTCCCTCTTGATGTACAAATGGAAAAGTTTATAGTCACTAACTTCTGGAGGCACGAAAAAAACTGAATTTTAAAACAACTTTAAACCTTAGAAAGAAAGCATACCTTTAAAGGAAGAAGATGAACCAGTTCTCCCCTTAGTGTTTACTATAGCAGTACCAGAGTAATTTCCCTTTCTAACTCATCAAATAGAAGCTTGTTAATCTATGGTAATGAGAGGAAATGCCCGTTTTTTACGCACTCTTAATCCCAAGCACATGAATATTGTTCATTAATTACAGTTTAAGATACCATTGGATAATAAATAGTAGGTTGTGAATCTTTTTACATTGAGAATTAAGAAAGATCATATCTTTTTTTCCAGCGTTCAACACCTCGTTCAATGGCCTATACAAAAAATCTTATTAAATCAAAATTAGCAAATGATATAATATCCAACCTTTGCAGTAAAATGAGTGGTAGAAGTTGATTAAAGGGCATAGGCCTAGGAGTAGATATAGAAAATCAACTGTTGCATAATTGAAGACAAAGATCAGAACGACTGATGATGGAAACTTAGCAGCTCTATAAGATCCTTAATAGATCAACATTTCATGAATAATGAACTCCAAGAAATGAAAATTTGTGAAGCACAGAAAAATGATAAGGCAACATAAGGAAAAGATCTGAATGAATAGAAATCACGAAAGAAAACCATTTTTTGGCTTGGATTTTTTAGTTCCAACAGACTCTTCTTGTTCCTTTCATTTCTTGCCTGAATTTCAGTGACAGTTTCTCCATTACTGACAGAGTTGGTGTTGGAATGTTCCTCTTGCACATGGGGCCGGATAGTACAATTATTATAGGCATAGGATGAATATCCAAGCAGCCTGTGTGCTTCTGCCATTATAGACTGCCAATCATTGAGCACCTTTTCTGGTGCTTCTCTAGCTCTTCCTTCATCACGTGCTGGAAAAGAGGATACTTCCATTCCTTCTTGCCGAGATGGAAGTTCTTTACATGAAGCGACTAAGCTTTGTATGATTGGAAATGATGGATATCTCTTTCTAATCCTCATTTTCATATTTCAGACAGAACAGAAAAAACAAAAAAGTTTGTATTTAAAAAAGATTATGAGTTCTTGCATAAAATTTTGAGTTTGGTTTATTAATGTCATTAAGACAAGTAAAATCAATTAAGGAATGTGATAAAAGAATGGGAGAGAGTTCTCTCTGTCACTCTTTTGCTCTTTCCTGCTCTTGACATATATTAATTATCTGTACTTAGAGCTCATTTATTCATTAATGATGAGTAACTGTTGCTATGAAGTCACAGTTTATGCAGCCATCAATTGCAAACTAGGTTCATTTTATCTCAATTCTTACAAAATGATTACAATTTGAGTACTCCGCACATTTGACAATGCAAATGAACAACACATTGCTGTCTATACCTAAGAGACAACATTTGGCAGCATTGAGGTTTTGCTTGGTAGGAATGATGGAAAACTTGTTCATCCGATGATTAAAATTCATAACAACTATCCTATTTTATAGTTTAAACATTAGATTAACAAGTTTTTCATCCTTTCTACCAATCAAAGCCTAAGTCAATACAAGAAAAATGATCCTCATCTATATGCAAACATTTGCTTAAAGAGGACAAAGAGTAAGAAAGAGAGAGGGGGGGGTGTTAGGCTTCACCTTATTGCCTCCATAACTTACACGTGTTTCATGATTCCAGGTTCATAATTCAATGATGAGTTACACATGGTACTATTCAGTTGTAAAACAATCAACATTCAAGTTCAAAATAGGGTCCTAGTCAAATTTCCATAATAATTCTTTCAAATGAATTTCTTCTCTTTAACATCTATCTGCCAAGTCTAAATATAGGGAAAAAAAAATCTGACAAGATGCAAATCCTTAATGCAAAAATTAATCATAATTCAGCATATTAGGAAACTTCATAATAATAGTTATTGCAAAAGCTTCCATTCTTGGAAGAACAGATTAGCATGCATTGGCTATACATATAGAGCTTAACCTTTTATTAAGACAGTTTGAACAAAATATAAATAAGCTGAGAAAACATTTGGACTAGTTATTATGAATTTGTTACCAGAAGATCACCAACTCAACAATGATGCATGAAGTATGAAATACCTGAATCATACCCATCCTGAAGGACAACCATTTATCACTCTTATTCTAAAGCAAAACAAGCATTAACAGATAATAGAGACTGTGTTTGTCAAAAAGAGAAGCATATTCCTGCCCTAACATTTATTATCTTTTTATTTTTTTCCCTTACCTGTTTGCATATATTATCTTAACTAATTTATTAGAGCAATGCTACACCTCAAGCGCCCAACTATATGATTGTAGCAGTTTCTCTATTTTCTGCAAGAGTTGAAGACCATCTTCAAAAACTATGTCCTGAGAGTTCTCAAATTTTTAGGAGTCCAACCTCAGGCAAAGCATTAAGTCCAAGATGAAGATAATTGGAGACGAAGCAAACCTAATATAGAATTTAACTATTTTCTGCAGGAAACTGCTGAAAACATTATTATATGTATTCAAATATATGTAATACGACAAAGAAAATAAAATGTCTTATGTGCAAAATAGAGGATCCAACCGAACCTAATTCATTGAAAGACAAAATAGGGTGTTTTATGTCTCTTTTTTCTTCTCTTTCTTTCTTATTTTCTTTCTTTCCTTTTTCTTCCACTCATTTCTTCTATGCACAAGGTGGGCAATATTAGATAAGGACTAACTTATTAATCGGGCAATTCAGAACCAAATTATTGCCATAATGACAGCCATTCTTTCTTTCTTTCTTTTTTCTTTTTTTTTTTTTTTTTTGCATTTATTAAACCATTTTATGATCATGTTATAGTCAAATTAAATATGAAAAATTCAGGTTTGTGGGTTAGCACCCTAGTAAACTATGCACACATTCTTGTTTGTGTTAACCCTAGGACTAGTTGGTATCTGATAAGTTACAAAAATGCTGCATAAGCTTCTGGTTTTCATGATCTGAACCATTAGCATAATGCTATTTGCAGCAAATAGATGACTGACCTCAGGTTTATCCAATAAAAGATGAAAGGTAATGCATAAACTCTCATTACACTCTTTATGACATCTCAAGTGCTACAGCATAAAAACATATGCAAAAATATATTTCAGGAAAGAAGTACATCAAGGCATGTACAACATTATTTATGAAATTGTTACCTCAAGACCTCCACTGAGTCTCACTATACAATTTTAAGAGCAAAATACTTCACAGTTGTTATCAACAGATATATGTTCACGGCAGTCATGCAAGCATATAGCTGTTATTGTGATTTGTCACACTGCTTAGTTATGTGCATCAGAAACGCACATATGGTTCATACAGTATCAATGCAGCTGCCAATATCATCCATCTTACATTCAATTTAATTTCCCTAGTAAATGTACCAAAAAATTTACAGCTAAGTCAGTGCAATTAAACCAACACTTTATGTTGTGAGAAAATGAAAAACCAAAAAATCATATAATGTGAATGGGGTTTTAAGCAACTTTTATTCTGTCAAAATGAGAAACCATGCACAAAGTATAAGCAGTAACATAAGATTCAATTAATCATTTGTCCATGATGTTAAATATAAGCAGTAGACAATCTATAACCATGATATCAGATTAATTCTGAATTCTAATAAACTGAATGACCCCATGCAGCCATGGGAACACTAACTTTTCACTGCTCTTTTACGTAAGATTGTCATGCATGGTTTCAAAGATTCAAGTATGTGATTTAAAGTTATAGCCAGTATACTTGGGCAGAACATAAAAGCATGAGACATTATGATTCCATACAGCAAACTGTCACAAGGTAAATGCAGAATGACTTAATATCTTCCTGGGTCTTCCCCTTCTAGGCTTTGTCTTTCTCTATTTATGCAGAATCAAATTCTCATTACCATATTTAATTAAAAAAATAGGATGAAGACGGACAAATTTACAAATAAATGAACATACACACACAAATCGAGTGAATTCATACACAGACATTGGTAAGTAAATCCATGAAACACCCCAAACATGAATGGAGATGTTTCCCAAGTTCCCAACATATAATCTAAAGCACATATTCATGGGGGGGGGGGGGGGGGGAGAGAGAGAGAGAGAGAGAGAGAGAGAGAGAAAGTACTCAAAGTTCCCAACTTGTAGAGAGATTATTCACTCTTCCTTGGTCTCAAAGTTCCCAACTTGTAGAGAGATTATTCACTCTTCCTTGGTCAACCCCGGTTTTTCATTATTTTTGGCTTACCCCTCTTCCGCACTTTAATTCCCATGCACCTTCAGTGTTATTATACTAATGTTATTTAATGGCAGACCAAAAAGAGGTTATGAATGAGAGAGAGAGAGAGAGAGAGAGAGAGAGAGAGAGAGATAGTACCTATTGTTCCCATTAGCAGTATGCTTACCTCTATTTGACGGCCTTCCTTTTTTGAAGCTTTGTTGCCCACAAACATTCTGTTCATGAGGAATGAGAGACATGTATTGGCAAATAACAAAATCACACAAGAATAACAAATACAATAGGATTAGTATAGGCTGGAGACAAACTATTTTGTGTAGTATTCTTAACTTTACAGTCAAGTGAGCCATTTTAAGGACTTTGCATATTCTTAACATAAATCCTTCAAATACATAGGAGCTAGAATCATCAAAAAAAGATTCTAAGGTAGATGTTTTTCCGTTGAACATCACTTTGTTCAAACTTTTATTATCTCAACCATTTTACACAACAGTTCCTTTGGTTGCAAATTTGATGACAGGCAAATTCCTAGCATCCTATTTAAGAGACAAATTACTTAAGTTTCTTAAAACCAGAACAAAAGTTTAAATTTCACCAGAAAAATTACTTCCTTTGCACAATTCCACAGGATTCTTACTTGATAGACCAGTTAGCATCTCCAGATTGATCACCTTCCTTCCTTTTCTTTCCCCTTCTTGGCTTCTCCTCCATCTCAGCAACCGTATACTCTAGGCCCATTCCTTCCTGCATTCCTTATCCCTCAAACCCCCCATTTTAAGGAGTAATGAAGTATTCACAGTTTACAGGACAACATAGAGTCCGAGTCCTCTTGCTACCATTTTCATCTTCTAAATCTTCCTCAAAAATATTCCCTGGTTCCATTCTTTTTTTTTTTCTCTCTGGTATTGCATCTTCCTTTTTATCTCTTGTCATCTCTGTCTCGTGCTGGTAAGTTTGTTTTTTCTTCTTGTATGGTAAGTTCCCTCCTGTTTCACCATGCTTTGCAACAAACTTAGTTAGAAGTACATGTGAATCAGAAACATGTTTAATTGTTGGTAATATAACAAATTGTTTGTAAGTTTCAAATTCCAACACATCTAGGAAGTTTCCTTTATCCATTCATACCAATTTGCATGTCTAATTGTTCCTCTCAAATCTGTTAAGAACAGAGTGCACTGTTCACTGCTGCACTTAATATGCCAAGCGTCTAGCTCCTAAAGTTGATTTTGAAACAAAAACAAGCTGCAAGCATATAATGTGATTACAATCATGTGTTCTGGATCATTACAGGCAATAAGTTTTATGCATAGGTGAGTAGAATTTCATTCCTGTTACGTTAGTATATTAATATTGCAAACTTATCAATGATGAGTAGAATTGAATTCCTGTTCCATTTGTACATTAATACAACATAAATTTAATATTCTACTGCATTACAACACAGCAGCAATTCACTTAAATAACTAATTATCCTTAAGGTACAACACATTTTTCTTCACTTCCCTTTGATATTTTTGTTATCCATTAAATTCCAAAGAACATAACTAAAATATCTTTACTTTTTCTTGTTAGTGGTATTGTTACAGAACACATTTCTTCAGACTTTCCTTTAATATCCTTGTTATCTATCTAAAATGTCAAAGTATGTAACTAAAAAATTCTCTCATTTTTCTACTGGTAATTACTTCTTCATAACCTCTTTCAAGATCACATCTTGTCCTTCTTTACCAATGATTTATTTTCTAGAAGTTTAAGTCAAACTTG